AAAGTTAGTCTTAGGGATGCAGGGGTGCAGTTCTATCCTGTCCTGTGGAGTCACTGTGAGTCAGCATTGATCTAATGGCAGATGGGCTCCTTATTGTTTTCTTTAACCATAAGAATCACCTGGGGAATCTTGTTTAAAATGTAGATTGTTGATTCAGTCCACCTGGAGTGAAAATGCAAGGTCTCAGTAGGGTTGACCCAGCGTGAACCGGTGGGGAAGGCTCGGTTTGAACTGCTGACTAAGAGCTTAGCATCCGACCACCAGGTGCGCCCTGCTGGCATACTACAGAAATGTGTTTCTCATCTCCCACTGCAGTTGGAAGATAAACTTCCCGAGGGCAGGACTTGCCTTGTTTTGTGGTTCCAGGAATATTTCCTGAAAGAATGCATACACCTATTAAATGCAAAAAGAATGGAAGGCATCATTATTTTCATGATTTTTAAAATTATACACTTGGGAAGTACTTTTAAAGGTGTGGTGGTTTTTTGTTTTTTTTTTTAAGTACATGTTTTTCCCATCAGTATCCAGCAATTAGAATGCTCTAGGTTTGGCCAGGGGTTATAAAGCTTGGAGAAGTCCCAGTCACAACACTGTAAGAGAGCTGGGGGAAAACCCTGGTTGTACAGGCGAGAGAAGAAGTCTGAAAGGTCAGGTCCTGGGCCTTGGGTGGAACACACCTGGCTCTCCTTCCTCTTCTTTAGCCTCTTGAGAAATGCATTCTCTGGCCTTGATGTTTCCCAAATTTACTTCCGTGACGAGAAAGCTCCTTGGAGAAGTCTGGGTGTGCTTGGAAAAATGATTTCCGACAACCGAGTTTTTGGCTTGCCCTCACTCCCGCTACACACCCCAGCGACCCCTTCCTCCTGCTGATTCCTTCCTGGGAGTGAGGGGCATCTGTGGTGCCACTTCTCACCTGGCCCGACGCCACCAAAACCAATCTCACTGCCATGGAGCCGATGTCGGCTCATAGAGAGCCTATAGGACAAAATAGAATTACCCCTGTAGGTTTCCAAGACTAATATTTTTCAGAGAGTAGAAAGCCCCATCTTTCTCTTGCAGAGCACTGGTGAATTTGAACTGCTGATCTTGCGGGTAGCAGCCCAACTAGTAACTATTATACTACTGGCTCAAGGAGGCAATGAGTTCACAGGAGGAGCTGACTCTCCCCCCTCACCCCCACCCCCACCCCGGAGTTCTTGCTCTTGGAGCCCCGACGACGTGCCTCCCACACCAGAGTCAGGATGTGTGGGCTCTGCAGGACAGAGCTGGAGGAGATTGGAAGAGCTACAGCCGGAAAACTGATCTTCCAGTCACCCACATGCTGACCCCACGAAGCCGTGGGGTGAGGAGCTGTGGGGGCTTAGGCAGTGCTGCCTTTCTGGTCCGTGCTTGGTCCTTGTCGCCGTCAGGCTTCCCAGCCCTGGTTCTGGCTGTCCATGGCGTAGCCTGTGTGCTGGGACCCTCCACCCACACTCCCTGCCAAGACCCAACTGTTCTGTGTGTGAGCTCGGGCCTGTCCAAGGGCTGGCCTTGGGTGCTGACTCCTGAGACCAATTCCCACGGTCCAGCCTACCCTGGAACCTCGAGCTCTAAGGCCTTTCTGGACACAGAGGGCTGGCCCAGCCCCAGGCTGCTAATCAGAGACCCGGAGAAAGGGAACGGTGGAGGCCCTGGACAGCGGCACAAAACAGCTGGGGGAAGGACCGAACTTCTGGCAGTGGCCACTGGCATCGAGGGCGGTAGGCCCCAAGCCTGGCCCAGGTCTAGAAATTGTAATCTGTCATTTTAGATGGGCAGATGAAAGATCGAGAAAGAAACTTCCCATACCATGTGCTTTCTGGTCCCCATCAGTGGTCCCCTGGCTGCTTAGGCCAGCCCTCAGAGCAGCCCTGCCCTGCCAGGGTGCCTGCTTCCGTTTCCAGGGCTTTGGCGGGGCACTGCTGGCCCCCCCTCTGGACATAGCAGTTCCACTGCCACTTTCATCCACCAGCCTTCTTTTGGAGCTCTGAATCACTGCCTCCTGACCTCTAACCCTCACTGCCACCCAGCCAGAAAGGCCCTGGAACCTGCTGAGGAGAATTTGACCCCAACAGCCCTGATACGAAGGGAAGACATTTGGGTATTTGCTATTTGGAAATGTCTGAAATTTGAAATATGTGAACACTAGGAAATGTGAAGTCGCCCACTCACGTGGGCAGCTGCAAGCACTGCAGGGATTGAATGGGAAAAGCGGGGGGATCCCCAAGCAGCAGCTGCTCCCTGAATGGAGGTAGGTGCCTGTCTGCTCATTTCCCCACACCATCCATCGCCGGCTTGTGCCCTCCTCCCACCAACTCGAGAGGATTGCTCAGAATTCCTGTCCACGAGTTTGTCTAAGGTGGAGGGAAGCACTCTCTGGATGCCAGGCACCACACACGTCTCACCCTTCCTTGTGAGGGCCCGGTCTGCCCATTCCTTGAGCATCCCCTCAGGCCCGTGTGAGGGTCAGGCCTTCTCTGGTTGGCGAAAGAACATCTAGTTGGCTGGATGTGCAGACTGAGGTAAGGGAGAGGATTGTAGGCCAGGGCGAATGTAAGACAAGGGAGAGAGAAGACAGAAGGAAGAGGGAACTAGAGTAAGCTTAAGGAAGGACGAAGGCACCCTGGTGATGCGATGACTAAGTGCTCAGCTGCTAACCAAAAGGTTAACTGTTCGATCTTACCAGCAGCCCCCACAAAAGAAAAATGAGGCAGTTTGCTGCGGTAGGAGCCCTGGTAGCATCCTGGTTAGGTGTTGGGCTGCCAACCTCATGGTCAGTGGTTTGAAAACACCAGCCGCCCAGAGGACAAAGAGGAGGCTTTCTACTCCCATAAAGAGTTACAGTCTCAGAAGCCAACGGGGCAGTTACTTCCAGCCTGCAGGGTTGCTGTGAGTCGGGACTGATTTGCTCGCAGTGAGTTCCGCTCTGGTTCTGCTCTGTCAGGGTGACAGCCAGAGAGAGCCCCAGGGAGCCAGATTCAACTGTGTCCCCGAGGCGTTCCATGAGTCAGGAGCAACTTGATGGAAAGGAGTTCCGGAAATGGTAGCTTGGGGTTGTCAGCAGTGACCATCATGTGCTGAATGGATCTGAGCCGTGGTCCCTGTAAATATTCATTTGGAAAACAAGGTCTTTGCATATCTGATTAAATTAAAGATCTTGTGATGGAGGGATTATCCAAGATGATTAAAAACAAAACAAAAATATCCCCCCAAATGAAACTCACTGCCATTGAGTCGATGCCGACTCATAGGGACTGTCTAGGACAGGGTAGAATCCTCCTTTGAGTGGGGCCCTAAGTGCTATTACAGGTGTCCTCATAGGACAGAGCCAGAGAGAGTTTGGGCACAGATGCACCCAGGAGAGGCAGAGGCAATGCAATGGCGGAGGCAGAGTTTGAGTGACAAGTCACAACAAAAGGAATGCCGGTAGCCTCTAGGACAGTGGTTCTCAACCTTCCTAATGCCACGACCCTTTAATGCAGCTCCTCATGTGGTAGCCCCCCCCCACAAAACCATAACATTATTTTCGTTGCTACTTCATAACTGTAATCTTGCTACTGTTGTGAATTGGGCGACCCCTGTGAAAGGGTCATTCGACCGCCCCCCAAATGGGTTGACACCCACAGGTTGAGAACAGCTGTTAGGAGCTGGCTTGAGAGGGAATTTGAGCCTGTCACCCCCTGATTTGTGGCTCAGTGATACTGATTTGGACGGCTGTCTCCGGAACCAACAGAGAACAAGCAAACAACGTTCTCTTGCTTTCAGCATATCCAGCCTGTGTTAACTGCTCACAGCAACCACAGGAAATGTGTACGGGGCCTGACTCGAGGCCATGCTAAGTTGGACTAGGGAATAAGCAGGTTAATGCCTCTCAGGTGAATGGCCTGAAAAAACGAGCAAGGAAGGTGGCGTGTGATGGTGGGAGAGAAAAGGGTCAATATCACAGAGCTAAAGAGAGCACAGGGGTGAACTCATTCTACCTCCCACACACAGAAGGAGGGCAGGGGGGAGGCTCCTTGGAAGCAGCTGAAAGCCCAGAACAAACTGCAGGCAACACCACTGGACCAAGCAGACCGGGGCAGTGAATTATGGAATGTGGCTCTCCTAGCCAAAGCCTCGACTCCCACCAAACGACCTTTCCCTGCATTGGTCTGGTAGGAAGTGGGTTGGCGGGGGGGGGGGGGGATACAAGCTTTGCCTGTGAGAATTGGAAACAGGATTCCCTGAAATGCCATCCTGCTGCATATAAAATGAGCCCCCTGAGAAGCAGAGGGTGGAATCTCACTACCAGCAAGAGCCAGGAGTGGAGTGTGTCCTCGACCTGAGATCCCTGTGCAGAGAATCTCCTGGATCCAGCTACAACATCAGAAGAGCCGTCGCAGAAACAGGACCAGAGAATGGGAACAGAGGAGTGGACTTCCCTGCCCGTGGAGCAAGGAAAGCCGAGTGCTTTTGTGCAGGATGCTGGCTTGTGGAGTGGGGTGCTTCTGGGCACTTGATTGGTGGCCGGCCCACAGGAGAGGAGCTGAACGCCTTTGGGGTGAGGCTTATTGGAATAGGGTGCCTCTGGGCATGTGGTTCAGGGAGCTGGGTTTGCTAACCCATGGAGCTTAAACTGAATGCCTCGGTGGAAAGCTTCCAGTGCAGTGGTATGCCCCTTTGGGCATTTATTAGTAGACAGGAAAGAACTTTGTAACGTGTCCTAATAAACAACTGTATCCTGAGCATTTCTCACTGGCATTATACTTGTTAACTTCCTCAATAAACCCTTTAATTGTGAATTTTGTCCATGAGTTCTGTGTTTCTATTGCAATAGATTGGAACCCAGAGACGTAAAATAGGGAACATTAATTAAGACAACACAAAACATACGGCCAGGTATACCAGTGAGAAAGCATCTGTAAGTGATTTTAAGTTTTTTCTTTATTAAAAAAAAAGTTTTGTTTTTTTCTGGGTTTTAAAAACTTCTCCAACACATAAAACTCTTTCTCCCCTCCCCTTAGTACTTCTTTCTTGCCTCCTTCTCCACCTCCCACCCCCATCCCCCAGACTCACGGTGTTGTCTGCCTGCAAGACCCACTGAAGAAACCTTTTCAAGAGTTGTGAGCTGGGAGCTGGAGGGGTTGGATTAGAAGGAAGGTGGTCACTGCTCAGAAGGAGAAGTCCATTTGCACAAAAATATAAACTAGGAAGGAGAATGAGACCAGCACATACACGTATGGATTGATCTACAATCCATGTTAAAAAAAAAATAGATCCAACCTGTCATGTTACCATTTGCAATATTAGACAAAATAATATTTTCCACAGCACATACCCTCTGCGCGCGTGCACACACACATGCACACACACACACACACACACACATACACACACACAAGGTGCTAGTGGCCCCTCTGCAGCTTTTGTGCACGGGGAGTGGGCTGTCAGTAGGCAAAGATGACATGGTAGGTGACCTGGTGGCCATTGTCCCAGGCATAGAGCAAGCGGTCCTTGGGGTTATAGTCTATCTGAGTGGTATAGGAATATTCATTTTCAAACAGAAGCCTGGGGACAATCTGCGTGTTGGTGTGGGTGTCGAAGGCATAGGAGATGTTGGCGTTCCTCTGGTTATAGCTGTCCACAGCGTACAGCACCCCACAGATGACAAAGCAGTTGCCGTAGAAGTTTCGCCGGAGCCCCGTCCGCCATGTGGTCTCCTTCTGCATGCTCAGGTCCACGGCATTGAGCTTGCTCAGGATGATGACCTCCTGGCTGAAGCCCTCATCATCCAGGGCGGGGTAGATGAGCCACAGGCCGTTCTCATCCACAGCAAAGTCCACGTTGGAGTGGCCCTGCCACCTCCAGGAAGTGGCCTCCTCATAGGCCACGTCATGGAGCATGGCCCAGGCAGCCACGTAGCGTTGCTTCAGGTCGTACTTAATGATGTTGCGGGTGAAGGCCCGGTTGTAGTAGAAGGCACCATTGTACACCACATGCCCTGTGCCGATCCAGTTGTACGGGAGCTTGTAGGAATTGCTCCAGCGACCTGTGGGGTGTGAGAAGGCAGGACATTAAAGGGCAATGCCACATGAACCCCCTGCTGGCCTGGTGATGGGCAGCCTAGTCTGGAGGCCTCGGTGGGTGTCTTGAGCTTATTTTCTAGTTTTGCGTAACATATGGCTTGACGGTTCTAAGCTGTAGCGTCCTCATCTGCATCACTGTAGTAAGTGTGGCTTGAAAACATGGTCATGGGCTACATGCAGACAACCGAAAAGTGGGTGAAGGGAGAAGTCGGACAGGGCAAGATATGACAAAATACCCATTTATAAACTATCAAGGGCTCATGTGGGAGAGGGGAGCGGGGAGGGAGGGGAAAAATGAGGACCTAATGTCGGGGGTTTAAATGGAGAGAAAATGTTTTGAGAAATGATGTACAAATACGCTTTACACAATTGATGTGTGTATGGATTGGGATAACAGTTGTATGAGCCCCTAATAAAATGTTTAAAAAAAAAAAAGAAAGTTAGATGTTTCACTGCTATTGAGCTGCTCTTCTGCCTTCTGGGCTGAACTTCAGGCCTTCCCATATCCCTGGGCCGGAAGGAGGGGCAGAGGGGGACCTGTCACCACCAAGGAAAGTCTTTCACCATCAGAAGATCTTTACTGTTGTCACCCACCATCCCCACCAAAGAGGCCAGGTCATGGGTCAGCCATGATGAGAAGCAGCCTCTGAGGTGACGCCCTAAGTCATACCTTGTTTGAAGTTTTCCAGGTTCCGGAACTCCACCAGGGTGTTGCCGTAATAGTAATTGGTCACATAAATACGCTCATCCTTAGCCAGCGGGTCCTTCATCCAGGCCCCTTCATTCTGTCCATATGTGTTCTGGGTGGTTGGCCCGGTGATCGTGGAGAGGGTGTCCTTGCACCTTCCTGATGGAGAAGAGGTCAGTGGTTATGTTGGGAAAATGCAGTTGAATAAAGGCCACCCCTAAAATGTTGCTGGCTCCCCTCCCTGGAGTCTAAACTGTTTGGTTGGCTTTAATAGACTGGAGTATCCTAATTCACCTGGCCTCCAGCCTCCTCTCTGCTACTGCTAGGCTTTTACAACTCCAGACACTATGCAATGAACTAGGAGAACAGGAGCACTCGGCATGCGATTAGGCCATTTAACCGGGTTGTCTCACAAAACTATGACCCTAAACCTCGAAAGCAAGAACCCAGAAAGCTGCATCAGCAGCTCTTCTTCTTCATCTTCCTCGCCTCCTATCACCCCACTGTTGACAGATGCATAACATATTAAGGAGAATTACAATAACTGCCCACAAAACCCTACTTTTATTCAACTTTTCATTACTGTTAATTCCCCCTTTCCTCCTGCCTTTCCACTGCTGGTAACCACGGATAAACTTTGGTTTCTAGATATTTGTCCTTTTCTGCCTTCTTAAATAAATGAGATCATTCAATATATGTCCCTTTGTGACCGACTTATTTCACTCAGCATGATCTCTTCAAGGCTCCATCCATCAAGACTTCATTTCCCCAACTGGCTGAGTAGCATTCCGTTGTATGAATATGCCACATTGTGTTTGTCCATTCGTCTGTTGATCGGCATCTCAATGGTTCCCACCTTTTGGCTACTCTAAGTAATGCTACCATGAACATCGGCGTACACATCTCTTTGAGGTTCTGCTCTCAAGTCTTCTGAGTATATACACAGGAGTGGAATTGTCGGGTCATATGGTAGTTCTAATTTTGGGTTTTATTGGTGTTTTCGGAGAATGCGTCACACCGCGTCACACTGCGGCTGTAACATTTTGCATTCCCATCAGCAAAGGACAAGGGTCTCAATCTCCCCACCTTCTCACCAACATGGGTTATTATTGTGAAGCCTTAGCCATCCTAGTGGGAGTGAGCTGGTAGCTCATTGTGGTTTTTATTTGCACTTCTCTGGCTATTGACATTGGATATCTTTTCATGTCTTCAGTTAGATACTTGAATGTTCCATTTGATGAAATCTCCATTCAAGTCCATTGCCCATTCTATGATTCTGTTGTTTCCTATTTATCTTGTCAGAAACGTTGTCTCCAAAGACATACATTCCCTCAGTCAGTAGCTTATCTTTTCACTTATCTAGTAGTGTTTCAATGAGCAACAGTTATCAATTTTTTTTAAATGAGCTCCTATTTGTTTCATCTTTTGCTGCATATGCTTCTGTTATTAGATACTCCATTCTTGAAAGCTAAGGCCTAAAGTAAGGTGACCAGACATCCCGCTTTTGGCGGGACAGTTCCAATTTTTAACATTTTTTCCTGCGTCCAGCGGCATTTTAAAAAAATCCCAATTTTTGGAAAGAATACACGACAAGCTAGGGTATATGGTTTTCGGCCGCCATGTGGCTATTTCGCCAGGATATGAGTTTTATCAATGGTGTCCCGCTTTACCAATGTTAAAATCTGGTCACCTAAGCCCAAAGCCTTGTCCTTTGCTTGTTCTATGAATTTTATGGTTTTAGTTTACATATCTAGGCCCTTAATCCAGTTTGAATTTCCTTTTCATTATGCTGTGGGGCCAAGGAGACCTGAGGTCAAGGGGGGAGGTGGGCTGCGGGTTAACCATTGGGCTGCTAACTGTAAAATCAGTATAGTAACACAGATGGAGTCAGTGCCTCGGCTCGGTGCCAATGTCCTTTTGTCTGCAGGAAGCAGGCCATCCCAGCTTGTAGCCTGGCAGTCTGCGTAGCCAGGACCTCGGCGCCGCTCTCCACGTGCCTCAGCACAAAGAGGACAAGGCAGGGAAGATGAGTGTGACCTCAGCGCATTTGACAAGGATAAGACAAGGACAAGGATTAGAAAGCCAGGAGGCCCAGCCCGTCTTCACAGCCTTAGACGCTGGGCCTGCCAGCTGCTTGCCCGCTTGACAGCAAACCGGCAGCCTTTGAGAGAAAACTCTCCAAGTTGATTGCTCGTCAAGAGTCATGAGAGGAAGCGGAGAGGCAGGCCAAAGAGAAGAGACAGCGCAGCCTGCGATTCATCTAAGCTTTTCCCTCAAGCCCAGATGCTGGAGATACGGGGCTGATGGATCTGACCAACCCCGCGCACTTTCTGGGTGGAGCTCATTGAAATTCAGGAGTGCTGGAGCTAACCTGGCCCTGCTGCAGAGGTCAGCAAGGTCTGAAAAGATGGGCTCTCCCCCTTAGCAAGGAGCCCCGGTGGTGTAGCAGGTTAAGCATGGGTTCCTAACCACAAAGTCATCAGTTCAAATCCACCAGTCACTTTGAGGGGGAGAGAGATGAGGCTTTCTGCTCACGTAGAGAATGATAACCTTGGGATCCACAGGGACCGTTCTTCCCTGTCCTGAAGGGTAGACTCTCTAGATGAGCTGGAACTGACTTGATGGCCGTGTGATTGGTTTGAGTTTGGGTCCTCCTTAGAACATCAATCTGCTCGTTGGCAGTGAGTGAAGAGAATACAATGTAAGCACACTGCTTCCTCTACGGGGGACCTGACGACCCCAGAGGACATCGATGAGAGCATACACTGTGTGCACCATCGGTCGACTCCTTCCTTGTGTCTGCCACCCACGAAGGCTGGACATGGCAGAGAAGACAAGGGAACGTCTGAAAATCTGGAATTCTCTTTCCTTTCGGTCTCTCCTTGTCAGGAAGCCGACGGTCGAGACTGTTGGTGGAATGTGTGCTCAAGAAAGACCAGTTGAGTTAGTGTTCTGCGGTGATTTCACTGTTCTGGTAAGAACAAAACGTATGTGGATGTAGGAGCTGAGACACTGGGCCTTTTCATCAGTTTGATACACAAATGCTTTTATGTTTGCGTTACGCCATCTAATTGGCACGATGCAACAGGAAGAATAAAATTAAAATTTTTATCTTTACCTACAAAAGAGCTCTCTCTGGTGCCAGAGTAGGTTATGTGTAAGGCTGTTAAACACAAGATTAACAGTTCAAAACTACCAGCTGCTCTGCAGGAGAAAGATGAGGCTTCTTGCTCCCCTAACGAGCCAGTCTCGGAACCCCCCAGGGGCCGTTCCACTATGGTCCTATAAGGCTGCTATGCCTCGGAATCAACTTGATGGCACTTGAGCGAATGACAGTGGCAAGGAAGAGCGGATAAAAAACCACCATGGCACGTCGAATGAGAGGCCATGGAGACGGAAGAAGGCGCTCACGGTCCCTTTGCAGGCTGTGTGAGCTTGGAGCCCGCGTTTTCATCGGGCCCTGAGCTCCACCCAACATGTAGCCAGCCCTGGCCGGGCTCCTTCCTCGGGTGCTTTCGTTGGCTCTGGTCCTTCTGTGTGCTGTGCCACCTGCCCCCTCTGCCTCCACTGTCCAGTCAGCTGGGTCAGCAGCACTTCCGAAGAGAATCTCTGGCTGCTGAAGGTCCCCGCTCCCCACACTGTGGCCCTGACACATGGCTCCACCACAGTGCTCACCCCTCTGAGCTGCAAGTGTATTTACACACTTGTCTCCAGGGAAGGGCACGCCCAACCCCTGCAGCGCCTGCCCATTGCCAGCACCCAGCACGTCTCTTCAGTATGTCTCTGCTTTGAGAATCTGTCACTTTGAGAATCAGGTCCTGACTCCTCATCCCTTTGAAACTGGGCCCTGCCGTTGTATCCCAGAATTCCATGCAGCACACATCCCTTGCTAATCCTGAGGAATTCCTTCTCACTACCACATCCACCTGGACACACGCTGTCCTCTCTGCCTCGGGGGTGGGGGGTGGGGGGTGTCTCCCGCTGCCCAGGGAGCGCGTGCTCCCATGCAGATGGATCTGCAGGGTTAGCACTGACATACCTGCACTGGCCCATGCACAGCTCCACTGCCACCATTAGCACCCCTGCCGGGTTGCCTTCCAGAGGCTTCCAATTTGTGCTTGTGTGTGTCAGAGGAGAAGTGTGCTCCACAGAGTTCTCAAGGGCTGGGGTTGTTGGTTTTTTTTGTGTGTGTGTGTGGGGGGGGGTTGGGCAGATCACCAGGCCTTTCTTCTGAGTCACCTCTGGGTAAACTCCAAACTTCTGCTTTTAGGGGGGCAGCCAAGCATGCTAACCATTTGCACCCCCTGGGGACCTCCTCATAGTGAGTGCCTATCCGATGCCAATGCTGACTTGGCTCACACACTCAGATCTTCACAGCCCAAAGAAGTGCTGGGCGGGCGGAGGCCAGGACTTGTTAGCCTGACAGAAGAGGCCGGGGCTTTATTGTGTCTTATCCACTTCCGAGGAACTAATTTGTCCCATATCACACGCTCAACTGCCATCGAGTCAATCCTAACTCCTAGCGACCCTGAAGGCCAGGGTAGAACTGCCCCGTGGGTTTGGAGACGTTCTCCCGGGGAGCAGCTGACGGCCTGGGTAACAACCCTGTGCGTGACCACTCCGTCACAGGGTCCCTTGGCCCTGTGCTGTAAAACAGCCAAATTCCCAAGTGGTTTACAGGGATAGGATTAGATGAGCCTGCAAAAGGACAGAGTGGCTTCATGCTTGTGAGGTGTGTGTGTGGGGGGGGTGGGGGGGTGCTGGTCTAGTGGCAGGGCGGCCAACCAGAACTTTCTGGGTCCCGAGTCTGGGCACTGAGGCGGCTCTGGGAAGCATTTCTCCCTCCTCTGTCGGTGGCCTCACTTTCCTCAGGCTGCCTCAGCAGACTTGCCTCCCAACAGGGACAGGCGGGGCGCCAGCTCACACCCAGAGTGGGCTGGCCGCCGGGGTGGGGTGAGGGGGTGGGAGAGGTGGGGGTGGTCTGAGGTGCAGTGTGTTGTGGGGAAGACCTTCACAGATCATGATCTTTCCTAGATTCAAGTCTGAGACTGGCTCACTCTGGAATCGCCGCAATCCTGACACTCCTCTTTGTCCGCTCTTCCCACTCCTTGCCCCAAACCAGCCTCTTCTATTAAAAACAAAACAAAACAAAAACAGAGGCCGTGACTGCCCTCATTAGTGTGCACTCTGCAAAGCCTTGGCCACATGGCTGCGTTCCTAGGCAGTGGTCTGAGGACCCCTACCACCACCACCACCACCACCACCACCACAAGGAGCGTGGACCCTTCCTCTCACAGCCTGGCTCCCTCGCTGTCACCATCTCCTTGCCCCATCCTAGAGCCATCCTAGAGCCAGATGTCTTGTCTTCAAGACCCAGCACAAACCCAAACGGACTCTGCTTTAAAACGGCCCTGAGAATTTCATGGATCCCCGAGGACACCCAGAGACAAAAACCAGGCCTGGAAACCTGCGATCCAGTGTTCCTTTTAAAAACAGCCCCATTTAAAACCACATCTTAAACAGCTCAAAGTCAACGCTGACGGATATTTCAAACAGCAACGACTCGGAGCGCAGTGAGTCAGCATCCTGGGTCTCTTTCAGCCAAGTGGCAGCGGCTGATCGAAATGATGGGGCGGACAAGTTGGCAGGGAAGGGGCGGGGCTCCAGAGGAGGTCCCCGAGGGAAATCCCACCCACCAGCCTGAGGGTGCCACCTGACAGTGATAAAGGATTATAAATGAGCCCTGAAAACAAACTAAACTTGCCCAAATTCCACATCTCCGGAACTGCCAGACCATCCTTATTCTCGAAGCAAGCCGGCCGACCTCCCTTTCAATTTTTGAAATAGTGGTGAAAACCTGGACCACAAAAAACCAACTCCCGAAACCCTCATTCAGGCCATGAAGTCATCGTGACCCTACAGGACAGGGGAGAGCTGGTCTTGTGCAGTGGTGGGATTCAGCCGGCTCACGCCACTTTGGTAGGACTGTTCCCTAATATTTTGTTGACTTTGGTGAACTTGTGGCTAACATGGCACTTGTAATCAGGGTCCTCTCTGAGGTGGGCAGTCGACCAAAGTGGAAATCACGTATTTGCACTCCTCGCTCTTCTTGAACGTTCACATCATGTCCAGCCATCCGTGGCCATCAGCAAATCAGATGGAACTCTGTTCAGAATATGTGTTTGGTCATCGCATAAAACTCCTTATACTTCTGAGGAACTGCTACATGTGTAAGCACTGACATTTGTGGCTTCAGGAAACACACACAGCACGTAAAGAGAGAAATTGCCAGACAACCAGAGGTGCCACGCTGTCATGCCCTTCAGCTTTGTGACGCCCCAGATTCCCACAAGATACTGTGAGTGAACGACGCACTTCCTGAAAGTGTTCAAAGAGCTGAAACATTGTGCGCACAGTCGCTGTGAGCTCGGGAGAAGTGGGAGGGGTTCCAAAGATGAGCAGAATGTGTTCAGAGAAGAGATATCTTGCCTGTTTCCAACACAGGCCACATACTGCCTATGGTCTAACTGCCCTCCTTTTAAAGGAATGGGGTCCAATCCTACAGTGAAAAGATGGGTAAGGGTAGATCACACAGCCGAGGATGCTGGGATAAAAGTGAAGGATATTGCAAGTGAGGATGCCAATCAAGGAGCAACACGGAAATAGCTTAAATAACAGTTTTATTACTTTTGTCAGGTATTTAATACTTTTCATCAGTATTTTAAAATTCTTAGAACAATCTAATTTTTTGAACCTCTTTTATTGTTCTTATTTAAGTATTAACTCAATGAAATAACAAACTACCTTTCAGTATGTCTGTCACCTTTTAATACTTGATATCGTCATTAGAGCAGGGAAATTGTCATTGAATTATCTGAATCCCATCCCTGCCCCTGTGTCAATTAGACGACTTCTATACGTACAATTTAGCAGCACTGTCTACATTGAAATTGTGCGGCTATTATCTTCTTTTCCAAACCGTGAAGCCAGTATCGGCGTAAGTGCAAAGCCCGCTGACAAAACCCTCCACCGCCCAAGCCCAAATCTCCCTGCCATCAGGTCAGTTCTGCCTCTCAGGGTCCCTACAGGACAGAGGAATCCTACTCTGCAGTACTTTCGAAGCTGTAAGTCTTTACCAAAGCCGGTTCTCACATTGTTCTCCCTCAGGACGGCGGGTGGGATCCAACCACTGACCTTTTGGTTCATAGCCCAATGCTTAACCCGCCGCACTACCAGGCTCCATCCAACCCTGATGACCACTACTAATTTTGGGGTTCTGTATATATGCACATTTGACATAAGCGAAATCATCCCCCATTTGTCCTGCTGAGACTGACATTTCGCTCAGCCTATTTTCACAGGCCAGCCATGTTGCCACCCCCTCCGTCTTTCAAGAAAACACTACATGTGGGCCCATGTCCCTGTGGTTTTTTGCAGTAGAGGCAAGAGTGCCATTAGTTCTGGGAAAAAAGGGTATTTTGAAACAGAAGCTTAACTCCAGATTCCACATGGTGATGCCGTTCTAGTTAAACCAAATACAGTCAGGCTAGCAGCATAGCATGTACCCTGCTACGGGGCATCAGCATCTCAGCAAGGCCACCGGAAGGAGGCAGAGACCTGACCGAGCCCAGAAGGGTGCAGGTGGGGAGTTGCACCAGAAAGACTTGCCGCTGGCCACACCCAGGGGAGGGAGGCTATGGAGACAGCAGAGAACGCCACCTGTGGCAAGGAGGTCATTGATGGGTGAGGTTCCCAGGCTGTGGACATGCCAGGGCTGTGGGGCCTCCCTAACAGGACTGCAGCACCTGCAGAGGGGCCAGGCTGCAGTGCAGCTGAAGTTGTGGAGATATGAGGAGCCTTAGGGGCTCACTCCACAGGAGAGGGGAGGTGGAGTGCTGGGCTTAAGGGTTGTGTTCCAAAGAGCACACTACGGAGGTCCTTCACAGCTGGTACCGAGGTAGGGGGCCACTGCTCAGACCCTAGGGAATGCTGTGGAAATTGAGCAGGACCCATAGCTTCAGGAACTCAATGATTCGTGTACTAAAGAATCAGCCTTCTTCTCTGTGGTCAGTGTGCTCAGAAGGAAACGAAAGAAGACTCCTGTTTCCACCTCTGGCCTCTTGCTCAGCTTCCCCCAGGTCAGGGGTCATGAGCTTTGGCCCTGAAGCCTCTCTTATGCCCTATTTCCCGTTTTGCCATTATTGGGAATTTCCCCCCATGGGGACCCTTCATTACAGTCGATTGCTGAATCACTGTGCCACCAAGGCTCCTTGTGGCTTGTTCACATTACTGCAGAGGACGACACAGAGGGTCATAGAGGAAAGGGTCATCAGCTAATTTCTAGTTTCAACTGAGGGCATCTTAACTCTAGAACCCACCCATCTTGTTACGTATGTACTTTCATGTTACGTGTTTTCCTCTAATGCATCCCTTCCTGTTCGGTATGTGGATGACGTGGTTTGCATGCCCGAGATTAAACAAGCCTGTGAGAGAATATATTAGCTCTCTCTTGATCCTGCCATCGAAAGAGGTGAGCCCTTGCATGCCTTTTCTGATGTTTCTCCAATTTACCCTTCAATTACACAACTGCCCCAAAGACTCATTGAGTTGTGGGGGCTGGTCACCCACATGTGTATATGATGGGAATTCAAAATATTCATGGAAAAATGGAATGAGCAAAGAATGGACTTCTCTCCGGGACTTTTGGAAGCTCTCTCATCCATGGAGAAGCTCCCTGCATTGTCACTGGCAGATACATCACCCTAGGGGTTAAGGTTGATTGAACATCTTCAAACACTAAACACTTGTTGTTGGTTGAAAGGCATCATTTCATTTTGGGTTTCTTTATGAAGGAATGTCAACATCTAGCTCCTCCCTCTGTTTCCTACCTGCTCCCAGAGCTCAGGGGCTCAGGTTACTGTAGGATGAACCCCAAGATCAAGTGGAATTGACTCACCTATGACATTCCGGATGTCATCTTCCTCCTCAGGGCTCAGGGTGGGGCTGGCAAGGCTTGTGCCCTGCCCAGCAGTCGCATCTTTCTCCAGCGAGTCTGTGCTGCCTGTGGTGGGAGACACAGGGGCCATCGGGGTACCTTCCGTAGATGTATCCTCGGGCTCTACTGCTGGGAGAGCTGAGGTTGGAGATGGCTGGGTAGTGTTCTGTGCCACGGTGGTCGCTGGCCACGGAGTAGAAGGTGTGAGGTTTGCCTCCTCTGTGGGGTTTGTAAATACAGGGGTGGCTCGGGGTGTTGTTGACAGTTGTCTGACCGACCCAGAGAGAGTAGGGTCAGTGGTCGTTGAGGCGGAGGGCCGTGGCGGTGCTGAGGACATGGCCATGGTCGGAGTGCTCTGGTCAGTTGTCACAGCTGCTGGTCTCTGGGTGGTGCTGGTCAACAGGTGTTTGTGTCTCAGGAGCTGATCTTCGATCAGCAAATCCATCCCATTCTCACCACTGAAAAAGTCGTCCTCTGCAAAAGGAACACAGGCTGATCGGTATGTAGCCCTGAACCACTTCCAGATGACCACGGGCCTGTGGTGTGGGGAACACAACATGGCACCTGCTTTAAAGGTGGAGCCCACCCAGCTGGGATCGAAGACTGACAGCGGCTACAAGCGGATGTGAGACGGAGCAAGCGTCGAAGGAAACTATTCCCTGGAGGCTGTAGCCGTACTCAACCCAGGTGCCCTTGGTAGCATCTCAGAGGCTGCAGAGTCAAGGCTATTAGCTTGATGGCTGGGAGGGAGTTAGTCACCCACTGCTTCAACAGGTCTGCCTGGATCATGCACAGCAACAGTGAGCAACAGGAACATCTGCGTGCAGGGGAGCGATTAAACTACAGATATGAGGAGGCTTCAACAAGTCTCTAGGGAAATTCCATGATCTTTCCATTCCGCATTGTCATGAATTTTTTGGAAAGCCCCTGAGAGAGTGCACTTAAAGATACTAGGAAGGGAAAAACATTGTAGCATAGCGGAAGGAGAGCCCAGAGAACTCCGAAGGAAGGGACGTGTGCAGCAGTAAGTGGTCAGGATGGTCCTGGTTGAAGATGGAGAGATAAGAGCTGAGGCGTAAAGCAGGCAAGAGAGTTAGCCAGGTGACTGGGAGGGGGTCGGGGGCAGAGAGCAACACCGGAAGAGCAAATGTTAAGGAAACAAGATAAGGATGATGGGAAAGGGGTAGCCCATGTCTGTGAAAAAGGAAGGGCAGTGACAGAAGGGGAAGGAGATGAAAGGAGCCCTGGGACCGGATGCCTAGTCCCTTAGAAGTGAGGAACAGGCAGGAGGAGCCCACAGGGTGGCCAGCCCTGAGCAAGCCATTTCCCCTCCAAGCCTCAGATTCTTCATCTACAAGGGGGAGGACCAGAGTGGAGGGCACTGAAGCCCCTTCTCATTCAGCCCCCCTCTGCCATGGTCTTCTACAAGGCCAGGGCAGTGACTTGCCCAAGGCCACTCAGCAGGTTGTGAGGAAAGGCAGCGAGAAGGATGGATGGCAGGTAGGTAGCTTGGCACAGGCGGAGATGACTGCACTGGCTCTGAGGGACCACACACCCTGGACTGCAGGAGGGGGTGTGGCTTGCAGGAAGCATGTCCCCACCAGAGTCTCATCCAAATGGTGACAGCCTCCCTGTCTGATTCCTGGGCATCTCTGCTGACCCCAACTCACGCTGCTCTTCGAGGTCGTTCTCTTCCTCGGGGTCCTTGGCTTTGTAGTAGGTGATGCCCCGGATAACTGTAGGCTTAGAGGCAGGCCGGCCCCTCAGGTGGACCTGTCTCTGCAGGGGCCGCTGTGGCTTCACCACCTCCGGAGGGGTCAGGGGCCTCGTGTGCAGGAACTTGATGGAGTTGATCTGCTGGGACACGGTTTCTTCCTGCAGAAATCGCTCCTCATACTGCAGCCAGAGGGGACACAAGGGAAGGTGAGGTCATTGCACGTGGGCGGTGTGGTCAAGCTGGCAATGCTGGAGGGAAAACACAGTCACTGAGTCCATTCCGATCGATCGTAGTGACCCTATAGGACAGAGTAGAACTGCCCCTATGGGTTTCCGAGATAGTACATCTTTACAGGAGCAGGCAGCCTCTCTCCCAAGGAGCGACTACGAGTTCAAACCCCCGATCCTGCGGTGAGCAGCTCAGTACGTGATCCACCAAGGCCATTCATAAGAACAGCTACGTCGCACTGGCTCCCCAGGGGACAGTTCAAACCCACCCAGTGGCTCTGAGGGAGAGAGGCCTGGAGAGCTGCTTCCATCAAGATCGCAGCCAAGAAACCCCAGGGGCAGTTCTGTTCTGTCACATGGGGTCTCTATCAGGGACAAAACCTTCTTACGTAGCGTTTCTGGGCCTCCGTCTCCTCATCTGCCACAGGAGCGATAAAATTAGTTCCCACCTAAATTGCTCAATCGCAGCAAATCCCAGGGAAATGGCTACACTGGCAATTGCATCAAGTCAAACGGCGCTTTCCAATCCAAGAGAGCTTCAAAAGACTCGTGGGAAATGGACTGAAAAACAAATGCACTTTCCCAGAAACGTTTCGCTGCCTTCTCATGGGCAAGCCCACGACCTGGTGTCTGGGTGTCTTGAGAGCTCAGTGGGAACGCTTCTGTATTCTGGTCACGTGGTTCCCAGAACAGCGGCCCAAGAATTGGCCTCTGTGTCCACAGTGTGGCTCAGTTTTTGGGTCCTTCCTTGGCCTGTCCGGTGCCCCCACCCCCCACCCCTTCCCAAGGTCACCATTATCCACCTTCAAGAGCAGAAGACTTTGGGCAAAGGGCCTGTGAGCTGGCTGTGCTCAGAGTCAGGGGCCCCATAAGCGGGTTCAGCTCTTGCCAGGCAGTGAGTGGCTCCCTAAGGGAACTGTGCAGGGCCCTGTGGGCTGTGTGCCTGACCTTGCTCTTGGGAGGAGTCAAATGACAAAATCATGACATCATCTAAGCCATGAGGAAAAAACCCTTCTCCCAGGAGCTGCTGGGGAGCTCCCCCAAATGCTGTGAATCTAGGCCTTGGGGAAATCCCCCAGGCAGCGGAGCCCACTTGGGAACAAAACCTCTGTCCCCGGATGCCCAGGGCCTGGAAGGGCAGAGCAGGCCTTTAGCTGGCAGAAACCCTGTGATAGAGGCCAACTTCCTCAGGTTGCACACGAGGAACCAAACCCCAGCACTGGTTTTGACCTTTAAAATCTGGCCCCGAGCGATCCTGATTCCTCTTTCCCAACCACACCCCCAAGTCTCCACTCACTTCCCATGACAAGCAAGTCTGTCCAGATGGCACAGGAAACATGACAGCTCCTGCACAAGCATCCTTCCCCACCAGCGCATAGTGGTGGCTGGCTCCTGGAAGGCAGGGGGCACCTTTCTGCCAGCCTCCTCTGCCAGGGACCAAAGAATTGCCCAGAAGCAACACGCAGACATGCCCGACTGTGTCCTGGAAGGCCCTCTACTCCTGCTTCCCGCCCCTCCCTCCATTTCCCATTCTTGGTGGTGAACTGCCCTTGATTAGTAGTAGAGGGGGATACGTGGTTGGTGGTGATGATATTTTACAAGCACCTACTATGTAGACCGACAGGTTCCTTCTAGTAACGCTAACCCTTACAAGAATCTGGCCAAGGTCAGTTTCATTATCCCCATTTTATAGACAGGGGCTCTGGTGGTACAGTTATGTGCTTGGGTGCTAACCCCGCAGCTCGGGGCAGAAAGACCTGGCAACCTGGCATACAGATACGGTGAAGGAAAACCTTACGGGGCAGGTCTACTCTGTTGCAGGGGCTCGCTGAGCCAGAAACAAATTGACAGCCTCAACAGCAGCATTTGCCCGGGAAGGCTTGGAATGATTTAGTGACTTGGTTGATGAAAGTCAATTAAGTGACTGAGTGGTGTGCTTCTGAAATCACACCGTTCTTCAGTGGCTCCAGGACTGCCTGCCTTCTGAGTTTCTGCTCTTGTCTGTCCACAGGGACTGGCTGGCCATCAGAAACTTGCCTACATCCCTTGGGCCATGGTCTGGCCACTGTCCAGCAGACTTGGGGATCCCTCACTTCCCACAGGGCAGAGCTGCCTGGGAGGCTGACAAGAGGCCCCGGCCACAGCCCTGGACGCAGACGCCGAGGGGTATTTAATTGATGGACTCTTGTTTTCCCTCTGCATCACAAAAGCAAGTTGTCATTTCTTCGTGGCAAACCCCAGGAACTGTCTTTAATTCCAGGCTCTCAGGGATGGGCGGGGACGGCAGTTCTTTTTCCCAGCCAGGGAGATGGAGCAAGACCACGGGCAGCCTTTGCCAGAGAACATATAATTTCCTTGGATCCACTGGAGACAAGCTTCATTGGGCGGCAGAGCCCCCACCAAGCTCTGATTTCCTTTCTGTTCATCCAAAGTCTCGGGTATGACTTAAACCACTGGTGTCCTGATGTTCCTGCACACCCCCTGCCCTCTCCACTCCCAACCCAGCCGCTACAGCCCCTTGCCAAGCGCCCCCCCCCTCCCCGGCAGGGACTTTCTTGGAGAAGAGCCTCCAACAAATTGCCACTCACCGTTTTGAGAAACCCCTGACCTCAGCTACAAAAACCCTGAAAATAAACAGCTGAAGCCCATACACTCCAGTGGCCTCCTTTTCAACATCTAGGGTTTACCAGGGAGACTGGGGGGACACAAAGGGAGAGGAAGAGCCTCCCCTCTGGTCTCCTTCAGCACATCCCCCTTCTCAGCCTACCCGCCCCCTCCCCCCATTGCCCTCCCATCACTCTGGCTGGGTGGGTTGTGATAAATGGGCACTTGAGGAGGGGAGAGGACTCTGCTGACCAAGGAGAACAGACGCTTGGGTGTGTGATTTGGTTTGCTGTTTGCCCTCAGGAAACCCGAACTGGGTCCTGAACACACCACATAATGTGTCATCAAGGCAATGGATGGAGCCTCCAGCTTCTCCGGCCGGGAAACTGGAAGTCAGAGAGGGCAGGGACCCACACCCGGGTGCCCTGCTCGGCTGGCCAGACTGAGCGAGGATGCCAGCAGGGCTGCGGTAAGATGGAGGGCCCAGGTGTGATGAGTGGAGGCCCCCAGTCCCTGGCAGCCCAAGGCCCTCTGATTCTTCAGTGTATGAGCTCAACACTCAGACATGACCCGTAAGCAGACTAAACACACACTCAGTAGCGAGTATAGAAATAATTTTTGAAGGAATCTGATATTTCCCCAAACCATCAAAGTAGTCATCATGGGGAAAACCAGAAAATGATTGGCCTTCTGTAGACTGATTTTATGGTTTGGAATCATTTTGCTTTTGGGTAGCATTTGGGGGAGGGTGGTCCCACAATCGTCCCAGTGCTTGTTGCCTTTAAAGTCCTAGCCAGTCTGCCATCTTGCCAGTGGGACACGTGTGCCCAAGATTCCCCAAGCCCACAGCTGCTGCCGCTTGGCACCGCTGTGAAGGGTTTCTTTCCCCAGATATTCCAAGCACACGTACCCAGCCCTGTTTAGTACCTCTCTTACCCCAATGCCTAATGCCACTGCCACACAGTCCTTCAGAGCAAGGCTTCCCAGTCATTTCTCACATGGAGAAACCAGCTCAGGGGAGCTGACTGGCCCAGGCCCTGCTCAACGCACACCCGCCTGCTGCCTGAGACAGAGGGTGCCCACTCCCCAGAACCAGCGTGCCACCGCTCAGCGGGCCACCACTAGCCTGCGGCAACCAGCTAGGTTCAGCAAAAGCCAAATCAACCACAGGGTCATCATTGATCCCAAGTCACAGCGACCTATAGGACAGAGTAGCACTGGCCCATAGCCATCCTGAAGCTGTCATCTTTATGAAAAGGGAGCCCCTGGTGGTGCCACGGTAAGCAGTTGGCTGCTAATGGGAGGGGGTCTGCCGGAGAGAGAGGTGGCGGGGAGCCCCTGTACTGTCCTAAACGGTTGCTGCGTCAGACTTGAAAGCAATGGGTCTTTTGGTGGTTGTATTTAATTTGCATGGGAGCGGATGGCCACATCTTTCTTCTACAGAGGAGATGACAGGTTTGGACTAATGGCCTTTTGGTTAGCAGCCGAGTGCTTGAATCGCTGCGCCACAAGGGCACTCAAAGAAGCATGGCCTCTCTAATGCTGCTACCCTCCCCAGTGGCCCCAAGCCCCTTTTATAATCCTCTCCTCAGCCTTACCTTGCTAACAGCGTCCTACATTCTTCAAGCCCTGCCTTCAATATTTTGAACTGTGTCCCTTTTCATGCTTTGGGGTTCTCTCCCAAATTAGTGTCTGTTTCTTGAACATCCATGTAGGAGCTAGCCAGCACACTGGAAGCATGTTTCACCAGCGGCGCATAAACATAGTGTGCTAACTGAGGCCAAATGAAACAGGCACTCGAAGGGGCGGGGCTTTTAAAACATTGGTCTTTTTAGCATCTCTCAAATCATGTTATACAGAATCTGCTCCCTACCTGGGGGACAAGGGGCAGAACTTGGTGAGAAGATAGTGCCTGAGCCTCCGGCCACTCCATCCTGGCAGAGCTGAGACACCGGGACCTGACCTGGACCCCTTTCCTCATCTCTCACTTGAGGCCACTGATCTCTGAGCGGGGGGAAGACTGCAGTTATGAAAGTGCAGTGTGAATCAGAAAGTGCCTGATTAATGGGGCAGGAGTCCTGGTAGTGTAGAGGTTAGGTATTAGGCTACGATCCGCAAGGTCAGCTTTTCGATCCCACCAGCCGCTCTGTGGGAGAAAGACGAGGCTTTCCACCCCTGTAAAGAGTTACAGTCTCAGAACCCCACAGAGGCAGTGCTATTAATCATTATGCCGTGACCCCTGACAAACAGCAGTAAGCTCCTCCTCACTCTAAGTGCAGGGGTGGGGCGGGTGGCAAAATGGGCAGAGACTAAATCTCCGGAGAGCCAGGTTGGAGTCCCGGCCGCATCTGTACTCACTGAGCCTTTCTGGACTACATGGGTGAAACAGTATAATGACTATGGAAGGACCGGGATCTGAACAGCTCTGTGCACAGGTGAGACGTGGTCTCCGGCCTGCGGGATCTGGGATCAGAGGCGGGGCACTGGGGCAGGGGGTGAGGGTGGGTGGTGGTGGGGTGTTACCTCTGGGTGGGCATAGGCTGCGGCCGCGTCTCTCTGCAGGGCTGCCCGGATGTCTGGCATGCTGTCTAAGACATTAGTAGAGCAGTTCTCTTTGCCTCGCTTATTCATCTCGGTCTGCATTTCTTCCATATCCTCTTTGATCTGTTCGTTTCCCTTGGTGAGATTTCTAGAAACTTCCTGAGGAAAGATTTAAAATAACGATTTATTGGAGTGCTCTGAGGATGGGCAGAACACAGCTGACTGAGAAGCCAGTCATCTGGCTGTTGGAGCGTCAGTGTGCCTAGTTCCGTGCTGAGGCCTGGGGTTAGGCGCCAGGCAGCCCCCTAGTTAGTACACCCAATTGTTGGGGAGACTGTCCAGTACCTCCTTCCAACCAACCGTGCCTTGAAGTGGCCTCCAGCCCATGGTGACCCCAGGTGTGTCAGAGTGGACCTGGGCTCTATTAGGGTTCCCAGTGACTGATTTGTCAGAAGGTGCCTTTCTTCCAAGGTGCCTCGGAGTGGATTTGAACGTCCAACCTTTCGGTTAACTGCTGAGTAGTTTTACCTTTTGCACCTACAGGCCTCCTGGCTTTTTCTGCCATTTTCAACAGGCTGCCCTTATCCAGGGATTCAGAGCTTTACAAAAATTCCACCCATGTGTACCTCGCACATGTGGATTGAAATGAGGGATATTTTTTCCTTTTTTCATTTTGCTCCACATGGGTATATTACCCTCAAGATTTGGTGCGCCATGGTGGGGTTTGCAGGCACACTCCCAATTCTGTGGAGACATAACCAATACTCTCCCACTCGGTGAGTTCGTGAAGCGATTTTAGAACAGGCTACCAAAGAAATCAATGTACCCTTCTTTTCTAGTGGCATTTTAAATACATGTTACATTAAAAAAAGGTAAAAAATAAAATGATGGGCTGGCTTCAAACTTTCCTAACTATCCATCAATGTATGGAGAAGAGTTTCCCGTTGGTTCCCAGAGGCGAGAAGGAGGGGGAAGAAAAGTTACTGGAGATGAAGCAAGCAGGTCAGTCACAGGAAGTGTTTGCTTTCCATCTCCTTTAACAAAACAGACGGGCAGGTGTAGCAGCTCAGACAAAGGCAGGCACCGCCCTGCAGCCTGGTGAGATGCGCCACATGTCCAAGAGGACATGTGGACATGTTATTATGCAGGATGGTGTGATAGCTAGACACTGCAGCTCCAGGGGACACTTGGGGGGGGGGTGCTCTAGGGGCTGCCCAGAAGAGCCCTGGAGATGCTTGTTAAAATGAACCAGGCTCCAGAACTCCCATCCAGGCCACCCTTGCAGCGCCTCACTGCGTGCCAGATTCCACCCTGGGAGGGATCGGTGTGTTGCTCGGGGCCTAGGCCGAGCCTGCCTTTTCCAAACTGCACAGCATTCACAGTGAGCAGGGACGCTCCAAAGAAAGATCTGGTTTCAAGATTACGCAGAATGAGCAGGCTGACTGCGTGTGCAGTCACTCCTGTTAGGGGCTGTCAGGAACAGTCAGTGCAATGGGAAAGAGCGTGGATTTTGAAGGGACCATCTGACAGCATCTCAGTGCGCTCATCATGAGATCTGTGGCTTTGGGCCCATCACGCCAACCTCCCATGCTTTGGTTTCCCCATCTGCGAAACGGGCATCATACGAGCGCTTACTCTATGAGCTATTACAGGGATGAGATGAGTTCACAGGTGGAGAAATGCCTGGCTGTTGTTTTTCATAGAATGTGATAGCTGGGCAGACCCAGGACACACCCCTTCATATCACAGGTGAGCCGAGTGAGAATGTGATTTACCCAAGTTAGAAAATCATACAAGTGGCCAAGCCGAACCCAGGCCTCCCAAATGGGATTCCTTCCACAGGCAGGGGGCTTAGGATTTACAATACATTGGCGGGGAAGAGAGATGCCATTCGATCCATAACCGCAGCTGAGCGCTTAACTCTCTGCATCACCCAGGGCTCCCACAGTGGGCAAAGGGTGAACTTGAAGGCTTGACCTAAACCCCTTTCTGAATGAAAACAAGAACCCACCTGGCTCCTGAGCGCCCTGAACCAGTCAGCACTGGCTATGCACAGTCATGCGAGGAGAAGGGGTGACCCCATAGAATTCGCACCTGCCGCGCTTCCCACCCCCAGGTCATGGGGTTTCTCACGGATTTTAAAATCTCCCAATCCCCTTTCTGGTTCTAGTGAAGAGCCTCCAGTCTGCATCTCCACAGCCTGGGGCTACGAGCCCTGAGAAGCAGGGCAGTTGATCCCTCTCCCAGGAGTGGCACAGCCTCCCTGCTGCCTGAATAAACACCAGGCTGGTGGTGGCATCAGCCCATCGGCCAGCATAGCCCGGCCTGCTGGTGTCCTTGGGCAGCAGTGGCTGCTTTCCTTCCCGCCCCCATCCCCACAATCTCCCAGCCACATCCAGCCCTGGGGGCACTGGTCTTATGGAGTCCCCTACTTTCAGTTGTCTTCCTCACCCTGGGCCTCTTGTGAGGCCTTCTCAGGAGGCACAGGGCATGCCGCCCACACAGGGTGACCAGTCTTGCCCTGGCAGAAGGGTGAACCATGACCTCATGCCTTAGGTTCTTCTCCTCGGGGACAGCTGCGTGGTGACATTTATGGGATGTACAACTGGACTCGTGGGTAGAGTTGGCAATGTGACGGAAGGGGGTGGGGGTGGGAAGGGCATATCTGGCAGAAGCCAGCACCCTGTCCACCTTTGCCATGCATCCTGATGCCCAGACGAGGAGGGAGGAAGAGCCTGGCACAAATGGCCTAATATGGCCGTCATGGCAAATGAAGATTTGGGAACTGCCATGAGCCCTTAGACAGGCCAGCACTAAGGACCCTGGGCGATGTTCTTCACAGCACAAGCACCATGTACTGTAGGAGCATGCGGCTGTGCATTGGGGGCTGAGTGTAGTCTAGCTGGATGCCAGACAGGAGGGCACAGACCAACAAGGCAGGTCCCAGAGAGGAGGTGGGAGGCAGGTTCCAGAGAGGAGGTGGAAGTTGCACTGGTAGCCAGCACTGGTCGGAACAGACGTCAGAGCTTCATCAAGCCTCGAAGGGCTAACAATACCAGGTGGTGTAGACCAGAGGAATGGGCTCCCTGTGTAGAGATGCATCCTTGTCCAGCTATTGGACAAATGTGGGTGTGCCTGCGTGGCATCGTATAAAGATTTAAGTCAGTGGTTCTCAAACTTCCTAATGCCACAACCCTTTAATACAGTTCGCCAGGTTGTGGTGACCCCCCAACCATAAAATTATTTTCATTGCTACTTCATAACTGTAATTTTGGTACTGTTATGAATCATCATGTAATTATCTGATATGCAGGATATACTTTCATTGTTATAAATTGAACATCATTAAGGCATAGTGATTAATCACAAAACAATATGTAATTATATATTGTGAAATACTTATTTCTAATGACAAATAAATGAAATTTTGTCTTGAAGCATGGTGTAGTATGGGTAATACAGTCTTCACACCGGGTACTCATATGTGGGTGTCTCTGCATGTGGGTGGACCCACCTGGAGATGGATAGAGGAGCGGTGTCTCGGTTCCTTAGACCATCGGCAATATGTTTTCTGATGATCTTAGGTGGTCCCTGTTAAAGGGTTGTTCGACAACTAAAGGGGTCACGACCCACAGATTGAGAACCGCTGGCTTAAGTCAACATCACCAGGCCTAGTGGGCAAGATGACCACTCTGTAGAGCTGCTGGCAGCACTGCCTGGCCTTGTTTTCCCCCAGCACAGGGGAGGGCTGGGTGTGATGTGCAGGTGCTGGGCCCCGCGGGCCAGGTATAGCCCCAGCCCCACCCCAGCCCGGTCATGTAACCATAAGGCCAGTGAAGAAAGCTGTCTAGGCCTGAGTTAGAAAAAGAAAGGGCTCATGGCACCTTCCCAAGCAGGCGTGGTGTGGAGAACGGATGAGGTGATGCCTGGATCACAGCACCTGGCTTAAATGGGGGCCCCCCAAAATATGGGTCAACTTGGCTGCCCCATGATTCTCATTGGGAAGTAATGATCCCCCATTCTGTGGTGGCAGAGTGGTTTTGCGTTGGGCTGCTAGCCGCAAGGTCGGCAGTTAGAAACCGCCAGCCACCCCTCAGGAGAAAGACAGGGCTTTCTACTCCTGGAAACAGTTACAGCCTCGGAAACCCACAGGGCAGTTCTACCCCGTCCTGTAGAGTCACTTTGAGTCCACACTGACAAATTCTCCTAGGAGTTGTTCACTCTTACCTCTGTGATGTTAAGGAGGCAGGAGTCGATGCAGTTATGTCCACAAGGTAGGATACCAGCTGCAGGATTGGGTTATATCTTGAGTTCATCTCTTCTGAGACACAAAAAGGACTAAGCAAGCCAGCAGGGATCACAGGAGCCTCAGAACCACCGAGAGAAGAGCAGGGAGTGTCGTCCTTCCTTTGGACTCAGGGTCCCTGGGTTGAGAACCTCCTAGATCCAGGGGATAGTCTATGCCAAGACACATGGAGATGTGTCTCTTGAAAAGAGACAAGGACCCCAAAGCCTGAGCCAACAATGAGTAAAAGTATTTCCCTAGAACTGATGCGAATTTGGATGTCGAGCCTCCTAGATGCTAAGAGAATAAATTGGTTTGCTAAGGCCATCCACTGGGTGTTTCTGGTCTAGTCATACCAGACAACTAGGACAGTCAGTGCAAGTGGACCTGGGTCAAGACTAGCCTTGGGAATCTCAGTACCAGCTATGCAGGTAGAAAGGAAAGGATCAGCGAAGGGCTGTGGCTGAAGCTGATGCCGGTGGGCAGGAGGAAGGCAAGAACCTGGTGTTCATGAGAAAACGAACACAGACACATGTCAGTTAGGCTGTAGCTAGCTGCACCAAACCCCAGGCCCCAAAGCAAGCAGCAGGAATGGGTGGCCATACCCAGCAAGCTTCCTGGGAGGGTGAGGTAGTTAGTTTATTGTGCCAACCTGGCCAATAAACACATGTGGGATTAATTGAAGGGCAGAGAGATAAATGGCTTGGCGAGCCTCGCCTTTTTTGTCTCTTGCTCTTTGATCATTGGACCAGTGTGGGGCTGCTTGTTTGTTCGCTGCCTCAATTTGCAAGGTATACTACCTGTGGGACACCTAACCCATAAACTGTATCGCTGTAGTTTGAGGTTCCTTCAAGACCTCCTTCGCCACACCACT